TTCTAAACTTACCTAAAGTTGGTTATCAAAAATGTTCATTTAAAAACTTACTTATTATATCCTACAAATATCATTGGGCACTAGTGTATTATATCAAAAATCAAAAGACTTATTTTATTATTTTATTTAAAAATTGAAAATCAAACTATTTTATTGCCTAAGTTATTAAAAACAAACATAACCCTACAAGATAACTGATCAAACTTGTCAACAAGCTCCATCCTGAAGCATAGACTAAGGAAAATGCACTGACCGTTGAGCATTAGTGGTACCTTGTACTGCAGCTCGACCACTATATATGATAACAGACTTTACTTATCTGCCACTAATGCTTAGATATCCCTGATAAGAATTTTTCTCCAATTGTCATCACACTTTGTGAAATTCTTAAAGATAATTAATTATGCAGTGGTCTGATTATTGATTGTGATCTCGAATGTGTTTAATGATTAAGATTTTCTACTGTTTTAAATGCTAGAGGGATTTTTGCAAGCCAAACGGTTGAATCTAGAGATGGCAAATCTACAGGAAATAATAATTGAGTCTAATGACAACCATGGCTTAATGCAGGACTATATAGCTAAAATATGCTTTGAAATAAATTTAATAAAATGCAATAATCCTGAGGTGAAAATGGAAAATCCCATGTTATTCTTATGGAGAACAAGTAAACTGTTGTATTTTGCTTGTTTATGAACATATTTTGATCAAATTTGGAAAATATTTTTATTTCTTACAAACTATTAACATTTTACAAAAAAAAAACTGTTTTACCCTCCCTGATTTAGCAAACATAAGTACTTGTTAAACTAATTGTAGCTGTGAACTAGCATCAGCTGACTAGTGTCCTTTATGTTTACGATTTTGGATATTTCGGTTGTCATGGTGACTAATGGGTGTTGAGTTGAATTAATGTTTAGAGAAGGTTCGTTTTGTTGTCCTGTTTTTTAAAGTGTAAAATATAACTAAGTTGTAGAAAGTTCTGAAGAGTTTTATTTTCCCACAAGCTATTTCGGCATGTCTGGAAACGGTACAAGATTTTCGGATTTGGTAAAGTTGTATGATGGCGAAGGAGACTTCTCGGAATGGCTGAAAAAGTTAGAGCTTGTATGTAAACTTCAGAAGGGTGAACGTGTGTATGTCAAGCCGCCAAACCCATCCTGTACTTCGAGATGGGAGGAAGGAGTGGTTACTGGACAGTTTTCACCCAGAAGTGTTGAAGTAAATGGCAGGCCTCATCACATAGCAGATGTGCGAAAAGTAGTTGAAAGTAAAAATGAAAGTGTAAGTTGTGTCGGCACCTCGAGGGCGTGTGGTGGTGTTGACACCACGGGGGCGTGTAGCTGTGAACTAGCATCAGCTGACTAGTGTCCTTTATGTTTACGATTTTGGATATTTCGGTTGTCATGGTGACTAATGGGTGTTGAGTTAAATTAATGTTTAGAGAAGGTTCGTTTTGTTGTCCTGTTTTTTAAAGTGTAAAATATAACTAAGTTGTAGAAAGTTCTGAAGAGTTTTATTTTCCCACACTAATTCCATTTAAATAGGAAATAAATGTTATATTTTTAAGTAGACATTTTAGTGTAAATCCAATCAGGCAAATGGAAATTCGCTTAGTCTGCAGGTTTGATGCGGCGGGGGTATTTAGCCTCTATGGAGTAAAAATCAGCTGTTGTCAACTCAGTTGTAAATTTCTATTGTATCGAAAGTATGTATCGATTCGTGCTTCGTAATCATTTTAACCTACAGTCTACAGTCTCTTCCCATAGCATTTTAGCATTGCAGATACATTAATCCATTCCCACAATCAACATTGCTCACCTTTACTATTCCCTTCACCACCTCCTACGTTGTGGACCTGTTTTCCTCTCTTCCCATAGCATTTTATGATTGCAGATACATTAATGTAATTGCCAAAGACAGTTCCCACAATCTGCACTGTAAGCCTTACTACTTCCTTCACCATTTCCTACGTCATAGACCTGTTTCCTTCCCTTCTCATAGCATTTAAGTATTAGATTACATTTATCTAACTGCCCAAACGGTTCCCCCACTCAACACTGCCAGCCTTTGCTACTTCCTTCACCACTTCCTACTTTGTGGGGCCTGTTTCGTTCCCTTTTCATAGTATTTTACGGTTGAAGATACATTAATCTAGCTGCCACTGACGGTTCTCACACTATGCTCATAATTTACTACTTCCTAAGCCACTTCCTACATCGTGGACCTGTTTTCATCACTTTCCATAGAATTTTTGTATTTTAGATACACGTTAATCTAATTTCCACAAACATTCCCCACACTCTGCACTGCTAGCCTCTACTACTTCTTTCACCATTTTCTATGTCGTAGGCATGCTTCCATCCCTTCTCATAGCATTTCAGCATTGCAGATACATTAATCTAACTGCTACAAACGGTTTCCAGTTCCCACACTCCACACTGCTCACCTTACTACTTCCTTCACCTCTTCTTACGTCGCGGACATGTTTCCCTCTCTTCCGTCATAAACGCTCTCCCCTCCCTCTCTCCCCTCCCTCTCTTCCCTCCCTTCCCATAGCAATTTAGGATTGCAGATTCTTTAATATAATCTTCATAAACAGTTCCCACACTCCGGACAGCTCGCCTTGTCTACTTCCTTTACCACCTATGTCCTACGTCTCAAACCTGTTCCCCTCCCTTCCCATAGCATTTAGGATTGCAGAAACCTTAATCTAATCGTCATAAACGGTTCCCACACTAAGGACTGCTCGCATTTACTACTTCGTTCACCACTTCCTACGTCACGGACCTGTTTCCTTCCCATCCCATAGCATTTTAGGATTACAAATACCTTAATCTAATCGTCACAAAAAGTTCCCTTACTCCGGACTGGTCACTTTTACTACTTCCTTCACCACTTCCTATGTCAGAGACCTTTTTACCTCCCTTCCCTTAGCATTATTGGATTACAAATGCCTTCATCTATTGGTCATTAACAGTTCCCACACTCCGTACAACTTGCCTTTACTACTTCCTTCACCACTTCCTACGTCACGGACCTGTTTCCCTCCCTTTCCATAGCATTTTAGGATTGCACATACGTTAATATAATCGTCATAAACAGTTCTCACACTCCGGACTGCTCGCATTTACTACTTCCTTCACCACTTCCTACGTCACGGAACTGTTTCCCTCCCTTCCCATAGCATTTTAGGATTGCAGAAACCTTAATCTAATCGTCGTAAACGGTTCCCACACTAAGGACTGCTCGCATTTACTACTTCGTTCACCACTTCCTACGTCACAGACCTGTTTCCTTCCCATCCCATAGCATTTTAGGATTGCAATTACCTTAATATAATCACCACAAAAAGTTCCCACACTCCGGACTGCTCGCCTTTACTATTTCCTTCACCACTTCCTACGTCACGGACTTGTTTACCTCCCTTCCCTTAGCATTGTTGGATTGCATATAGCTTCATCTATTGGTCATAAACAGATCCCACACTCCGAACAACTCACCTTTACTACTTCCTTCACCACTTCTTACGTCACGGACCTGTTTCCATCCCTTTCCATATCACTTTAGGATTGTAGATACCTTAATCTAATGGTCATAAACAGATCCTATACCCCGAACAGCTCGCCTTTACTACTTCCTTCACCACTTCCTACGTCGCGGACCTGTTTCCTTCCCTTCCCATAACATTTTATGATTGCAGATACCTAAATCTAATCGTCATAAACAGTTTTCACACTCCAAACTGCTCACCTTTACTACTTCCTTCACCCTTTCCTACGTCAAGGACCTGAAGCTAGTGTCGTCATTTGATTATATTTATGATCCATACCGTTTCTGTTCTAATATCTGTGGAATAATGCTATCAGCTATTTCTTTATCTACTGCATTCAAAAGTCAACAGCTGATCGTATGTCTTTGTTTATGTGTCAAATACTGCTTCTATAAGGATTACATTGAAACTTTGAGACCCAGTGGGGCGGATTCCTGAGAGATTTTTTTAACGCCATATAGATGTTGGCACTCGACATGGTCTTTATCACCATGCAAAATTTGAAAACGATTGATTCAGCCATCTAGGAGGAGTTTGCGTATTACAAAATGCATAAGAGTCGATGTATAAGAGCTTCGCTCGCTCTGCTCAATGAAAAAAACGAGATTCTATTTATCTAGGAGATGCTATGGAGAACAGTCATACCACACAAACTTTAAGCCCTAAACTTATTAGGAGTGTTAAAATAAGAGAGTTACACATTTTATATTTAAAGATTTGTTTGAAAAGGAACAGTAGTTTTATTATTATAAAAATGTAAAGGCCAGTACCTCTTAATACCTTAATTAATGCCTAAAAAGTTTGGATAGAAAGTTTAACGTTTACAAATTGAAGCAACTGATCTGATTATTTAACAACCAAACCACTAGTTTAAACTATCATGAGTTTAGTCACTGACGCGTTCTGCAATTGCGTAAACATTGCGCAACTTGAGCTTGATTTTCTGACTTGGTGCTCGATCCCTCTAGCTAATAATCGAGGCTAAACTTGGCTCAAAAATCGAGCTGCTTGCACATCTCTACTGTTTATTATAATTATTTATAAACCTCAGTGATTGACCAGAACATTGGGTGCATCGGCGACTATGCTCAGCTTTGCTAAAAAGCTGCTTTGCAAAGCTTTAGACTGCTTTGCCACAAACTTAGTATCAAGTGTACTATCAAAAGTGTTAGTATCAAGTATGTAATATAACTAAAATATATAATAAAAAAATAAAATAAAAAACCAGTGGACAAAGTGTAAAAAAATAACATCCCACCCTCCTTGGCAAAATGTGATGAACACTTAAAAGCAGAGGGTAACACAAAAAAAGGTAACTCAAAAATAGACGTAGAAAATTATTTCTTTAGCAGTTGTATTTGGTTTGGAATCTTTTAAGATGTATAAATATTTACTTTATATATACTTATCTATGCGTAGTTTTTAATGTTTTGAATATAATAGTTACCGTTAGGTGTTTCGAGGAAGATTGTAGTAGTTGTCTTGAAAGAAGATAAATAACACGTGATAAAGAACCTTCTACAGAAGAACTCACAGCCTTTTCTGAAAATACACACAACTTTTCAGTAGGAAATAAAATACTATAAAAAGACACGACAAAAAAAAATTACAGACCAAGGGATAAAATTAAATGCTTTTAACACAATGCAACTGTCAAAACACATCTGAAACACATGTGGACATTATTAGTATAAGATTCCATCCAATGACATTCTTTTATGTTTTTGATCCATACCGTTTCTGTTCTAATATCTGTGGACGATCCCATTGTTGCGATGTTCTGCGATCCAATAATAACATGTCGCAACCAGAGAGCGCATGATTTTTGCAATACGCAACAATGCTGATCAACAATTAATATGTTAAATATTATCATGAGTTTGTTTTTTTTTAACTTTATCTATATAAATAAATGTAGAGTTTTGTCTGTCCTTTGCGTAGAATAATATATTTTTTGGTTATTTTTACGTTTTATACATTAAAGAAGCGGAAACAAGGCTTATCTCAATTTCTGTCCGTCTGTCACGACCCAGAAGGCATTTTATGCGGCCTTCTCCTGAAAAACGAGAATACCTATCAAGATTCAAATCATTTTAATGTATTCACGGGATTGGCGAGAGTGTCTTTTCAATTAAAATATGGCCTCACTACTTTGTAAATAAAATGACGGGACGTTCAAAAACCCAATTTTGTCCGATTATTCCCCTGTTTCCGAAGTTTTATTCCTAATGATTTTGAATGATTTTACATGATTCTTTTAACCCTTTAATGACTATTTCATTTTTTAGTTTTGATAAAAGATTTTTTTGTTAATTCAACAAAAAAAAATTATAGTCCCTCTTGCACCAATCATTATGCCAATTACTGATATAGAATTTAGACCATATCTACCTCTTCACACTCGTATAAATATGCTCTAGACTCATAAAGTAAAGGCTATGACATTTTTGACTCGCAAACCCTTAAATTCAGCCTTTGAAACTAAATTATACAGCTTAGAAAAAACACATCTTAGAGTATTCAGAATGTTTATTTGAAGTTTTTACTAACTATTTTGCAGTTTTTAATTTTATGTTTACACTTAAACATATTTCTAAGAGTAGATTCATCCATGGAATTTGTTAGTTTTTAGGCCCCTGTTTAGTCAACTCACCACAGTCTCTATCAAACAGCCCAGTGAGGTAGATGTCTCTGAGACAGGCCGCAGCACAGTTAACAATGTCCAGTCTGTTCCAGTCCACCGGGTGAAACATGTTTTCACATGCTCTGGGTACAAACACAACGGGAGCAAGTGAAACAAATTGTAGTCACTAGATAATAAATAAATAAATAATCTACATTTTACTAAGAGAAGAAGTTAAACAAATAGTTTTTTTTTTATATATATTATAATTAATTGTACTTTCTATTAATTACTTTCATACTTGAATTGTTGGTGTTTATTTGACTCGACACACAATCCACTTCTTGCGCAATATTTAATGGACACATTGACCAGTATGATGAAGGTATCAATTGGTTTGTTTCTGTCAGTCAAGTTTATGTTTTACCTCTTTTTCTCCAAATAGTTTAAATGCTTAAACCTTCTTTATATCCCTATTGCAAAAACCGTGTGAATTTCCCCTACACCACCTCACCAACTTGCCACACCAAAAGCTCCACCAACTACAATGAACAGATACTGACCAGTCACCTGCAACACTCCAGTAGCTGCAACAGATCTCTAATTTGTAATATACACTGTCATGTTCCTGTCCTATTCTAAGCTGATGAGGACCTATGAACAACACTACTGTAGTTGGTTCTAGGGGTCAGTCGGTGGGTTTACTACTCAATAAAATGCCTCATCAGATCACCAAATTTTTTTTAAACTTACAAGTCTACGATGTAATATTGCTTTCTGCCAGTAACTGCTCACCTAGTGATTGCTTCAGAGGCAGCTTTCCTGACTCGAGCATCCTCGTCCCCAAGCAGTGCCAACATGACAGAGTGCAGCACCTGGGACTGGAACTCACTGTTGCCTGTCACATGGTGGATATGCAGGTACGACAAATATCCCAGCAGTTCCAGTAGTTTCACCTGAGAACACAATTCAATTTTGCATGTCATTGAACAATAGTGTCTGATTATGATTGGAATGTAAAATCAAAGACAATTTACAGTTTGACGTTTTAAATGTGAGCATGTTAACATGTGTTATATTTACGTATGGAAATAGAAGTTATATTTTAAAGTATGAATACCTTAACACATTGGTTCCCAAACTATGGATGAGAGAGCAATTTTTATGGGTCGGGAAGAGATCAAACATTAAACAAATTTTATATGGACCTGTAATTTTTAATTTTTCCCTACCTGAACGGTCGAGTGAGCACCAGAACAGTACCAAGCGGGTAGCCATGGGCCATTTAAAATATTTTCAGTTTATTCACAATTCAGCATGACTTCCGTGATAAATGTGATTGTTGGCTCTCACAACAAATCAAGTTTGATTACCAAATGTTTAGGAAATCGTTATTTATAATAATTAAATTTTCAACTTGAGGTTGTTAGTTTAACAGGTAGGCTCGGTTAAGTTGTCAACCTTCCTGTTAAAGACAATGACACATGATAGGGGTTGAGTTATTAGGAGAGTTTGGTATGCAGCCAGTCACCTGTAATCAAAAGGCTTGGTTTACCTTGACCAGCCAGTAAGAGTTGTCTGCCACTCTCAGTAGCGCAGGCAGTATAGGTAGAGCAGTCTGGTGGTCATGACTACACAACAGAGGTCCTAGACAGACACAGAGGCTGGTCAGAGCATGCCTCACACATGTGGAGGACTCGTCCTGTAGACCCTGCACAGTAACATCAAACGTTAAATTACTATATTCGTGTTACAGCTTGAAAATTAGAACCACATTTTTGCCTTGTAATTAACGAATTGGTCTAATTATCAGGACAGCACTGCGGATAGTCGTAGTACTCACTAGTGCCGACGTTAATCCACACCAGGGAGTATCGCATCCACAGTGCATGCCTATAAATATCCACAATTTGTGACCTCCTAGTAGCTGGATTACAGAACAACGTCACCGCCCTAGTGGCTTTATATGTTCATGCATTCACTCTATTATGCAACATTAATTGCCTATATTAATAATCTATATCAAGTAAAGTTTGGGGCCACGAGATTTAAATTAATCTAATTTTACTAAATCATCACAAACAATAAAAATCTATCACTTCATTAGATGCTAATTCTTCATCAACCTCCATAAGAAAAATTGGTTTGCATTATATTTACAATGGTTCGTAGGAGGATATTTAAAACTTATCTTTCCAAAAATCAAAATTTCCCTTTCTAAAACATGCGAGCCTAAATTTTTTCCCAATAGCAAACAGGCTGCTTGGATTATATGAACTATTTGACTTGACTTCTAAAAACCTCTCATGTTGTTTATAAAGACGAACAAAAAATAGTAAAATAATTGCATTTATTAGAGAATTTGACTGTTTGACTGACCGTGGTTAGAAGTGACACTAGGGAGGGGAGGGTGACTGGTTTGGTCGGTTGACAAGTGTTGACCCACTGATCAAACGTTGTAGCAGCAGTGGTGATTGAAGAGCAGATAAATGTTCCAACCAGAACACAACACAAACCCCTCAACTGCTGGTCAGAGTGGGTCGCAAAGCACAACACATCACTCACATGAGAAAAACCTACAATCAATAAATGTATTAAAGCAACAAAAGAAAAAAAAAATGTTTGAATAACATTTTAAGTAATTAGAAAAAGGTAAGCTTTTATTCCATTATTCAAATTTAAGGGAAAACTTCCATAAATTAATATTCTCTTCTCTAATATTTCCTAGTTGTGTAATACGGATAAGTAATTCAATCACCGAAGAAACCTGCTAAGTACAGAAAATAATAAACTAGGTATGATAAGTAAACTACTCAAATAAATGCATCTCAACTCAAATAATTATAAAGTTTTTGTGTCTAGTTCATATTGGTGACTTGAAAACAAACAAAATCTAGAATTGACTGTATCTGATGTTTTAGTTATAAGTAATTTGTTAAACAATTATTTTATAAACTGTATAAAAGATCTTCAAACAAAATCAGATATAGAACCTAGTGTACAGAAAAATAGTCTTTCAAGTAGTCTCACTCCTCATAATCAGACTTTTCGATGTGAGCCCACAGGTGAAAACAAAATTATTAAAATATTAGATTCTTTAAAAAATAAGCAATCATATGGGTTTGATGAAATTCCTGTAACTATAATAAAATCTGCAAAAATACACCTATGTAAAATCTTAGTTCATCTGGTTAACTCTTCTTTAATATCTGGCATTTTTCCAAAAAAAATTAAAAATATCCAAAGTTGTACCTATACATAAAAAAGATTCTACAAAAGACATGTCCAATTATCGTCCAATTTCGATTCTGCCATCCTTTTCAAAAATTTATGAAAAAGTCATGTGTATGTGTTAAGTCATGTTGATTATCCCAATTCTTAGAAAATTCAAACATTCTAGATATGTCCCAGCAGGGTTTTCGGCCCGGAAAATAGGTTTTCACTGCAGCCGTTTCTTTTATGAATCCATCATAGAGTCCATAGATAAAGGGGAGAACGTAGTGGGCATATTTATGGATTTAACAAAAGCTTTTGAAAGCGTAAATCATCATCTATTACTTGATAAATTATTGAACTTTGGTGTCAAGGGAGTTGCATACAATTGGTTTAAGTCATACCTTTCCGACCGATATCAGTATGTTGAAATTAACCAAACCATTTCAAATAGGATCACGGGCGCAGCATTGGACTTATGTTTGGTCTCAAGTGGCGTCCCACAGGGATCGATTCTGGGTCCTTTGCTGTTCTTATGTTACATAACCGGACTTCCTGAAGTGCTACAGACTGTTCCCCATAGTAATTTATGTTTATATGCAGACGACGCAAATTTAAAAATCTCAGCAAAGAACCAAAATGAAATTGAATATTTAAGTTTTATAGAACTAGCTAATTTAAAGCAATACTTCAATAATAATAGTCTTTTGTTAAATCCAAATAAAACTAAATTTATTACATTTTCCACAAAGCAAAATCGTAAAAAAATATCTCCAAATATAATGATTGAAGAGGAAATTATTGAACAAGTGGATGAGGCTAAATTTTTAGGTCTATATATTGATGAAAACTTATGCTGGGACAAACATGTCGAACATATATCGAGAAAAATTAACTCCGGTTTATTCGCCTTAAGGCGTATGGCCAGCCTATGCTCATTGCCTGTACTAAAACAAATATATTTTGCTCTGATTCACTCTAATATTTCTTATGGAATTGGCTTGTATGGTGCAACAACAATAAATAATCTGAATACAATTCTAAACCTACAGAAAAAAGCAATTAGATGTATGCTCAAACTTGAAGATGATGACTCCGCAAGAGAACACTTCAAAAATCTTAAAATTTTAACTGTGTATGGTCTGTATATTTTTGAATGTATCTTATTTTTTATAACAAAAACTTATGTACAACCAATAGGTCATAAATATAATACAAGAAGACAGACCGAAAAACATTTTGAAAAACATAGATTGGGATTTTTTTTAAAAAAAAGACGACATACATTGGCAATAAATTCTTTAAAGCACTTCCGAATGAACTAAGATCAGAAAAAAATAATAACAAACTAAAATGTAAATTGAAAAAATATTTGATCAACAAACATTTACTCAATAGAGGAATTTTATGTATACAACAAAATTATGAAGCAGTAGTGGTAGTTTTTTTTTTTTTTTTTTTTTTAGTTTATAATTGTATTGTTTTTTAGTTTTATATTTGACGCCATTCCATTTCTTGTAATGACATGTACAAGGACAAATAAAGTGATTTGATTGATTGATTGATTGTCATGAGAACTAACTCAATAGGATAATTATGGATTCTTAATTTTGTGTGATGTCAGCGGCCACTGCTCAACCCTCGCTCTCAGTCTGCCATGATGATGGTAAGCTTGAGTCTAAGTCTGCTTAGTTCTGTATGTAATACTGTTTAGTAAGCGTAGCTTTGAATAGCTCTCACACTGGCTCTCATGAGATGAGAACACGTCTTACTCGACTCAAAATTACTCTCAAATTAAACTTAAATTTTAAATGAGATTGTTTCTACATTGACCCCTGGAATTTTGTTCACTTGAATAAAACCATTAAACCCAGCCAAGGCCCCACCCAGACCTCTATATTTCTCAAATTTTTACACCTAAGGGCAAAAAATCTCACAGTCGCTCTGTACTATTCTCCTACGATTACAGGGACAAAACCATCCTCTCCTGCAATCCTAAATAAAATCGCTGGCAAATGGAACAAATCTCCACTGGAAAAAAACCCAAATCGAAATAACAGCCCCCCCCCCCCCAAAAAAAAACATTTATTGGTGGTTTTAGTTAGCTGTAGTAAATAAGACACCTTACCATCAGCGGTAGCTTGGCTGTTGACATCAATAGTGCAGAAGAAGAAAGACGGTTGTACACGGACTAACTGAGTTAGACATTGTAACGCCAAGGCTCTAACACTGACACGCATTCTGGGCCCTGAATTGCCCTCTGGTAGCAGGAACCCTGTGACTAGACGACGACAACAGTGTAATAGAGCTGGCTGGCCAGCATCTAGTGTAGACCCTACCTCCCACACCTGTAATGAACAAACAATAGGTAGTTTTTTGATTTGGCCCAGATTGTATACATAATTTAGTTTAATTTGGATATCATCATTAGCAAAGTAACAAAGTTTTGTATGTATTTAGGTTAGGCCTAGAGCCCTTTACCAAGAATACCTAAAGTTGATGTATTTAATATGTCAGTTACCTGAACATTAGCGACTGATTGACTTTGTTGATTATCTGTAGCTTCTGGCGAAGGTGTGTCTCGAGCCAACAACATATCTGCTTCTAGACTAGGAGCTCGCTCTATAGAAGGTCCAACTAGAATTGGTAAAACTTCTCTCCTACTTCCTATATTCTCTGTATCACTTTCTTCTGCAATGACAACAGATATGATCATTGTAACTAAACATAATAGTCTAAGGCCAAGAAGAGCGGGAATAACAAAGAGTTAAGAGTTGTTTGTTTACAGCCTGAATTGTTCATCACAGTTAATACAAAAACACATAACAGCAAGTTATAATACAAAAAATAGGCCAAGATTTACTATAGAAAATATTAATCAAACATGAATGATCCACGACGATTGGTAACAGTGCAATTGTTTTGTGTTCTTCATGTGTATATTGGACAAAAAGCCAATTTTAAATATTCTGCACATGAATAGTTCAAGCTAGTTGTTTTGTTATAGTACTAGCTGTAACCCGCGGGCTTTGCCCCGTTTAACTTCTTAATTTTCAAGATGATCTCGTTCGCATGGCTCAATCACGTCCTGGTTGAAGTTCGTTCACTACGCTCACTCACCTTTAGGTTGGAGCTCGTTCGCTACGCTCACTCACCTTTAGGTTGGAGCTCGTTCGCTGCGCTCACTTGCCTTCAGGTTAGCTCGTTCGCTACGCTCACTTGCCTTCAGGTTAGCTCGTTCGCTACGCTAACTCGCCTCCAGTTTGAAGTTCGTTCGCTACGCTCACTCACCTTTTGGTTGCAAATTAGCTGTTGTCATAAATGTAAAAGAAATAATAGTGCTGCACCCTGTTGGTAATCCTTGTAACTTTAATGCTATTGAACATCATAGAACAGAACCAACTTGTTTAATTGAAACAGCTGTTAAGATTCATTAATTCCATTTCTCATAAGGTTAACATGGGATACTCCAGAGCCACTGGGGCGGAGCCGATTGGACGGATCACGAAATTGATGGTGTATAAACCTATTCCATGAAATTCTACACGTATGTACCAAGTTTCGTGGTAATCGGTTCAGCAGTGTCTGAGTTTATCACTGCCAAACAAATATACAAACATCCTCTTTTATACTTATAGATCATGTTTTTGTAAGACAATTTGTTTGAAGACATAAGGCCTTGGATGGATATGATTATTGATTATACTTTATAGAGGTTTGTAACACACCTGAGGCTGAGTCTATCTGGGAGGAGGTGGAGGAGGAGTGTATCCATTGCACCAGTCTGCCATCTTGTATTGTCTCCTCTTGTGTATCCAGCAGAGGAGAATCTGCTGTCACTGAGGCCACACTCATCTCACCTAGACACACAATAGCTTAGTTTATTTTGTTTCTTTTCATTAATTATATTTGCATTGCATGCTACATTACATCCTTAACATTACATTCAGCAGAAATTAATAATCTTACACTCAAATATTAATTACACTCTGAGCATTTGCAAAAAAAAGTATGAAACAAAACTAAACTAATGTTAGCTAAATTTCTATGATATGAGAAATGTTTAGGATCTTACTGAGTGATCTGCGAGACAGTTTTTCAGTATCAGCAGCCTGGGTGTGTATGTGAGATCTGCTGATGCCTTGAGGAGACAGGAGAGTGTCCAACAGTTGTCTAGGAGCTGATGTCAACAACTGATGTAATGTCTCTAATGCTGTAGTCACCATGTTGTGGTCCGGGTGACTACTCAGGTGTAGACACAACTCGTATATCTGCAACATCATACACAACAACTGATGTAATGTCTCTAATGCTGTAGTCACCATGTTGTGGTCCGGGTGACTACTCAGGTGTAGACACAACTCGTATATCTGCAACATCATACACAACAACTGATGTAATGTCTCTAATGCTGTAGTCACCATGTTGTGGTCCGGGTGACTACTCAGGTGTAGACACAACTCGTATATCTGCAACATCATACACAACAACTGATGTAATGTCTCTAATGCTGTAGTCACCATGTTGTGGTCCGGGTGACTACTCAGGTGTAGACACAACTCGTATATCTGCAACATCATACACAACAACTGATGTAATGTCTCTAATGCTATAGTCACCATGTTGTGGTTTGGGTGACTACTCAGGTGTAGACACAACTCGTATATCTGCAACATCATACACAACAACTGATGTAATGTCTCAGAAACAACTAAAAAATAACTAAAATAACTAACTAAATAATATTTGCCTGGTTGAATTTTCACTTAAATACGTCTTTGTTTTTATACATGTCAGAATCATTATATATTTAAATAACTTTAGGTTAAATGAGAGTAGCTTTGTTGGCAGGCACAAGGGATGTGTTAAGTAGTGTTTTAAAATATACTAGTGTCCCTGTTGCTCGAATTCGAGCAATTGCTAAGTATTGCAGGAGTTATTTTAAAACGAATATTAACCAAGTAAGCAAATATTTGTAGCAAACTGTTAAATTAACAAACTTATTGACTGTTTACAATTAACATTATATGTTATTCTTCTCACTTTTGATTTCTGACAACAGCTGGAGTTTCATAACAATTTTTGTTTCCAATGTTAATCTTATGGAAAAATACGAAACTTTAAAGGGCTCCAGGGCCTCACTCTCTCATTATTTCCCTAAAAAGAAAGTTTCCTGCACAACTTCACGTTACGCTCTTTCCAATGACACCAAAAACATGACAGTCGGTTCAGTAGTTTCGGAGGAGTATTTGTCACAAAAAATCTGCTTGCGTATTAAATAAGTATAAATAGATGTTAATAGCTTATGCATAAAATAAGTAAATATGCAAAACTTATAAATTCAATTTCAACATTCCTGCATAAATCCTGCTTTGTCGATCTGTGGCCAACCTAATGGTTGATAATTTGGATATAATGGACAATGTAAACAAAGTATAGGCTGTACTTACTTGTATGAACCTATCAACACTAAAGAGACAGTCATGATCACCAGCTGTGGCCTGGGTCAGATGTGGTAGTAGCAGTCTCACACAGTTTAGTGTTCCCTGTACAGTCAACTCCTCCCCCTCCTTGACTGGTACAATACCATCTAGAAACACAGAACATTGGTAACTCAGAAACTATCAGATTTAGATTAAACATTAAAAGGAGAAGTTTATAATATTAATTGCACTTTTTTAATGGCCACCATTTTCCAATATGGTGGCTAAATTGTACCTATGGAACACTGGGACTAGGTTTGCATGATTCAATCAATCAATCAATACGTGTTACATCCTTGTCTTGTGATCCTTCTCCGCCGTGAACAAACTATGCGTTTTTATGCTCACACATCATTTTCAGGTATCACAAAAAATGAACTTTAAAAACTATCATTAGGATGCTCATGTTACATAAAAAATACACAACACAAAAAATTAAAACACAGAAAAAAGTGTAGACCTACATGAATTGTGACTTGGCATGTGCCCACTGCATTAGTGTTAGCTTACAATTTGTCAGCCATGTTTTAATGATGTAAATTTTGTTTACTATGAAGTGACCATCCTAATGATGGTTTAATTTTAAAGTCTCATCTTCATGTGAATTGAAGATTATGTGTCGGCATTGAAACACGTAGGAATAACAAGGCAGTACCAGGTAGACCTATATTTTACCTTTTTATAATTCACGCCAACCTTTTTACATTAATATACAACAAACAATAAAGTAATTACACTTAATTTTAACAAAAACCTACCATCTCAGAAAGAGAATGTGGCTTTTGCCTGTAGGAGAGTGATGGTTTACGAATTTTAAAAATGTACAGTATAAAAGTTACTAAAATTTGCTAAAAAACCTAAACTCAGGCAATCTAGTTGGGATTGACATGTGTTGGATATTTAAGTACAATATGTAAGATTTAAAAGGTTTTTATTTGCACATTACAAGGTATTTTATTTTATATTTCTGTAACCAAACAAATTATATATTTTTAGTTATTACTAGAGTTATTAGAATCGAGGTCAAGATTTTATTTTATTGTGAGCAATCCAATCCTTTGAGTTTTCATTTTCAATCCGCTCACCTGTAGAATTTGGACTTTGATCGGGTTGTTCCCCTCCCCTGACTGACAAGATAGTGAGCAGCGTCGGGTTAGATGTGCCTTGGACATGGTAGTGACCACGTCTTTCTCTCACCGCTCGTGTCGGGAAAATATTATCTTTTTTACTCTTTTACTCTTGTATAGTTAATGCCACTAAATTCAGTGTAATTATTGTGATCATCTCAACACCTCTTCCACTACACCATGAAGACTACCAGACTGATTGAGGGCCCTCACTTCGCAGCGACGTCTCAGCATGGAACTCTCTACTCATGATTTAATTGTACAGGTATTTTTAAATGGTCCTTCGGTTGCTAAAAATTACTCACAAACATTTAACTTAATTAACTAAATTAATTCTCCTACTGTCTTACCCAACAAGGAATTGAGAGTGTATGAGAAGAAGACACTTGGTTTGCGGCTGTGGAGGCAAACACTGACAATACTAGTAGCTGCAGTTCGGCGAACTACCGTGATATCACTACTCAGGTTGACCAACAAACTCTTCAAAAGATCCTGTACAACACAATGAATATAGGTTAGTTGTTATTCAAATTTATTGTTTAGTTTAAAATAATTATAACGTAAGTTCAATAGAGAAGGTATTACTCAGATAATCTAAATCAGTGGACACAGAAAACCAGAAGTTACTACACAGAAAATTCGTTTGATCTTCTATTACCCTTTTATGGGTTTTAATGTTAAGTAATGTCAATTAAAGTTTTCACTATAATTAATTCACCACCTGAGATTAAGCCACTCATTCCCAATAATTCTGGCAGGGGTGCTGTAACATCACCCATTATCTATTTTTATGACATCCCAAAACCAAGAAGGAATTTGCCAATGTATCAACTAAAAGCATTGTTGTTGAGATAGCAACCTAACCTGAAAGGGAAACACTCTGTTGTATTTCTCCTGGCCCAAGAAATACAAAATCTTTACAATGTACACAATAGTTACAATATTTCACTGTTTCAGATGGAATTTTAAATTAGTTCAAAGATATAAAGGTGTGGATACACCATGGCAAGGCTCGTTTTTCCAAAAGACAAATAAGTCTCAAGGCCAAAAAATTTAAATGTGGAGGTTTGATGTCAGGTAACTCAGTTATATAGTGTTTGTCCTCCAGATACACATATTTTGTCTAGTAGAAAGCCAGTCTAGTAATTTAATGGCCACAATTAAATTAAGGTACTTTATACAGTATTATTCTACTTTGAAAAAAAATCTGGTATGTCACCAGTTCATAGCCTACTATTATTTTTTCCTGTTTTCAGTCAGGTGTTAATAGATCTAACACTTGTGTAGAGACTGTAATCATAGATAAAACCATTATAAAACACACTCCCTTAGTAGATTTCTCATCCTTATGGAACAGCTGAAGGCTGAAGCCAATGTGATTGTTAGTTCTGTAAAGGTTGTGTTTTGTTTACAATTTGTTTCTTGTTATTCCAGTCAATTATATGATATGCAAGAAACTCGAAAGACTCGGTATAAGAAACTCTGCGCTAGAAAGGTTCAAAAGCTACCTAACGGGACGTTTACAAGACGCGGAACTGAAAAACTCATCAAATGAAGTCACAGAAAGTTTCAAATCTTCAAAAAGCAAGCTGACGAGAGGAGTTCCACAAGGCTCTGTATTAGGCCCGATTCTATTCATCTTATTGACTAATGACTTCCCCAAACAAATTGAGAGTGAAAATGCTGTTGCAATCATGTATGCAGATGACACAACCATTTTGATCAAGGACAACACAGCCCAAAGCCTTGACCTTAATTCAAAATCGATCTTAAATAAAGCTATCCTATACTCAAAGAACAACCACACAATCACTTAGCAATAAACCCCACAAAAACTACAACTCTGAATTTCAGTAAGAAAAAAGACATAGTCCCTCAATTAGAGGATGTAACAATAGAAAACCACACAAAATTTCTCGGTGTTATCCTTGATAACAAACTAACATGGAAAGAGCACATCAACCACCTAAGCAAAAAAATCAGTACTGGAATATATGTCGTCAGAAGAATAAACTACATAGGCGGACTCTCTGTGGCCAAAACAGCTTACTTCGCACTGGTAGAGTCGCATCTTAGATATGGCTTGACAGTGTGGGGAGGAACTTCAACAAAAAATATGAATTGAATTCTTGTCCTTCAAAAGAAAGCCATAAGAGCCCTCGCCAACCTTGTCCCACCACAGACTTGCAGATTAGCATTCGCAAACCTAGGAATCCTCACAGTGGTGTCTCTCTACATACTTGAAACCATAAAGTATGTGAATGAAATAAACCCCCCAAGAAACCAAGACCTGCACCACTACAACACCCGTCATGGCTCCAAATTTGAACTACCAGTTCACCGAACAACTCTTTGGGAGAAAAAAACCTTCCTACACCGGCTGCAAGCTGAGGAACCATCTACCTGACTACCTGAGAGACCTGACTGGCAACAAGCTACACCAGGAGTTGAAGAAGTGGCTAATCGCAAGACCCTTCTACTCAATAAAGGAATTTTATGAAAATTATGGAAATTAACATGTACAATTCACTATTGTATTGACACTATTGTAATTCTTAATGAATTAACAATAAAGAATATTGTATTGTATTGTATTGTAATTAAAACCTTGTTTATGAAATTAAATGAAATGTGTTTATTGTCTTGTTAATTGACAATGTCATAAAACTGCTAAAATTAGCATAGTCATTTAATGAATACAATATAGCTAACTACACACAAAGAGGCATGGTGCATTACATATTTTAAATATTACAACCAAATAATCTTATTTTTAAGAAAAATTCAAGGCATTTTGAATAATAGAAGTTATTAAACCCCATAACCAAGTAAATCCAACAGTAATTTGGTAAATTTACTAACTCTACTTAGAAATTAATAAAAGGCATTTCAAAAGAATCTTTTAAAGAATAAAAAGGGTTGTTCAAAAGCTATTTGTAGAATCTATAATATTAAAACGAAACAGTGTTTTTTTATTTCACGATTCTGAATCAACCACTCGACGGATTTTCATGATTTTTGTGTTGAAAGAAAGATAATTTTGAGAACTAGGGAATGTCGAAGCCATAATTTTAGTTAAGGGTCCCAGTTTTTTAGAAATTAAGTTTAAATTTTTAAAAAGTCTAGCAGCCGACGCTAAGATTCTAAACTAGCTGTTGGCATAAAATAATTTGCTTAACATAACAGCTGTAAGCATTCAGCTTTTGTGTCACAAATTCAGCATTTGGATAAAAATGTAAAGACATACTTAGGGTTGACTTATTTATATTATGTGTAATGCTAATCATTGATACGTTCAATTCTTCTGTAAGAGGATGACAGATTAATTAAATTATACATAGTAAAATACTAGGATGTTCAAATTATTTTTTAAAGCAATCTTTGTAATCTTCGATTTGTTTTAGAGCAATATAATTATTTGTTTTAACTAACAGCTGGTTAAATATAAACTATGGAACAATGAGGTTATTTTATTTACTCTTATTTTGTCATTGATTATAGGAAATAAGTAAGATTAGTAGAGATAATTAGACCACAGTTTAAAATAGTTTAGACCAAAATTAATTAAACCACAGTACAAATCGAGGCTCTGTACACGAGTCTTAATAAAAAAGGATAAATGCAAATTATTTTACTACTCCACTTTTCAAGGAAGGAATAGAAAAATAACAATGTTTACATATTGTTTTAATTCTTCATGGTAGCTTTTTGTTTACAATTAATGTTTGTCTGCTTTAACTTTGTTTGGATTAGGCCTGGAAATATTGATGTCATAAAAAGAAGATCAAGAATAATCAGGAATCACGATTTTTAAATTACCACCATAACCTCAGCCGGGTTTTATACAAAGATAAACAGATGGATGACATAGATTGAACACAACGTCAACATTGACCTAGGATACTGCAATTAGACAACCTCAGACAAACCCCATTAGACAAACCACCCTTTTATGAAATCGTGTTCAGTTGTGACGTAATCAAACGTGAAAATATCACTTTTATTTCAGCTATGAATATATTGTAGTTTAAATTAACTGATATGGGAAATTACGATGTACATTTATTCAATGAGGGTGGGTAATTATCAAGGATAGAACTGATAACAGTATGGATAATAAACATTGACAATTACGTCATTAGCTTTACTAGCATGTTTACTTTTTATATTCCTGCTACATGTGACCAGTTCTTTTTTTCAAATGAATGTTATTTGAACCAAACAGCTGTTTCAAAACAAACTGTTATTGTTTTTACTTTTTTTTATTTACGCTTATTTATTCAGCAATTAATGCAGTGAAATTGATATAAAGGATAGGTGTGACGATTAGTTTTGATGTTAGGACACCAAAGTTAAATTATGTGTACTATGAATTTTATTGGATATTATTGTTTTATTTTAGGTCGTTTCTATTCAGACCTACTGGAAATTGTGTATAGTAGTTGTATTGTGGCTATAATAATTATGGAAGAGGCAGGTATGCTATGGAAGGTGGTATCGTTGACTAGGTCTATACACTTCCCAATTGACTATTAACTCTCTCTACTGTAGGCTACTTAATCAGTCTGCGTCTGTGCGAATCGGCTGCAAATCTCACTTCAACGCTTTTCACACCGTAAAAATTGGAGAATTGCTGTTTTATTGTAAAATTATCGGATTTAAAATGCATATCGTATAAGCCTATGATGGAATAAAATCATATTTGGTCACACAACATTTGTTTACAAGATGATTTTTCACATTAAAACTGCAAGAAACTTTGTCTTTATATGTGTAAACTAGCTGATCTGAATTGTACACGGTTTTAACTGACTACTGAATTTCCGTACGTAGGACGGGCTAACACCTCGTTTAGATTTAAAAGTATTTTCAGAATATTTTGATATCAAATGTATTAGCTTGTTGTATATTTTTAGTGAGATTACAATATGGCTTGAGTTTTAGACAGTTAACAAAATCTATGGTAGCAATGTTTTTATTCCTTGTATTATGAACATGAGAATTTTGTTTGATAAGGTTGGGATTTTTTTAGAATGTATGATACAAAATCAAATACATAAATGTTAATTACTGTTGGAATTTGTAGCTAAATGAACCGGGGTTTACAGTGTTCCTGTAGGGGTTCACAAGATATGATTCTAACTAACTTCTTTTGTATGACTAAAAAAAAAACAAATAAAATCAAATAAAACGGTTTAATCATAAACAATAACTGGTCTTCTAGTTATATAACCAAACAGTAGAGCACAAATCATAAAAATAACCCTAAAATACTAGAAACAAAATGTTGTCTACACTAGCAATCACTAATCAGTGTCGACGTACATGAACTAGACAAAACAAGAACAAACAAGCTTCAAAATTTAAAATGGGATGAGTAGTCTACTTGTGTTGGTTGGTCTATGCTGTAATGTTGTACTAACCCTGATGTTGTTATCCGTTGTGAAGTTGCCCAGAGCAGACAGTATTCTAGGCAGGGATGCAGCTAGAGTCTCTAGCACAGGTTCCTCTCTACGTTTGGCAATCTCTATCAGGCTAGGCACTAGGTTCTGGATATAGGCCTTGCCTTTTTGGGGCCTGTAAGTGATAAACAAATATTTCATTTTGGGTGTTTGGATACTGTGCTGGTACCTAGTTATTAGATATTAGATCGGAAAAATGATTAGACAGATATTTTTAAAAGGTGAAATTCTGAACGCTTATAGAAGATGTAGAAAACATGACAACTATAAGACATGAAGATCTAGAACGTAATCTCCTCCACTGATGAATTGTGAAGCCGCTGTTAACTGGAACAGGACAACTAAGTTCCATCACAACTGCTGAAATATATTACTTTCTTCTGAGTTTTGCAGTCAGGCCACTTTATTGGACATTGCTTCACTAAACAAAAACTCTATGCTAAAAAAATTTGTTTACTAGCTAACATTTGTCAAAAACGTTATTTATATAGTATAAAAGATAGAGTCAGTAAAAGGTTAAATGTTACAAGTACCGGGTGTCCACAAAGTAATGCTCCCATTTTAAAGTCAAATATTTTTTTATTCATGGTTATACTTACATTATATACAAATACATCTCAAGACAGAGAATTTTCTCAAGATTTCTGCACATAAGAAAAGTTTGATGAGAGCTCCGTTCCTTGCTCGGCATAGATCAAATTGAAATTCTATCTCTTCCCACACTTTTGACAACATTAATGTCCGGAGTCACAGACCCAACAGCCTGGATCACTCTCTGCCTTAGGTGGACGACATCCCTGATTTTCTCAAAGTAAACAATGTTTTTAACGTATCCCGAAAACAAACTCACAAATTACGTAAACACAAAATGTGAATTTCTTCAACAGTGTCTTCGGAAACCCAAGGCCTTCCGTTTTCTTTTGAACATTTCTTGTTTCTTTAAATCTCTTTAACCAACGACAAATGGTAGCGGTGCACTGCCACCAAACAAATGGCGAAAATAACGTTGAACAGTAATAATTGAACGACTTTCAACCAGCCAAACTATACATTGTGCTTTCTGCTGAAGCGTCGCCATCGCTTCTGCGTAAAAACACGTGTAAATTTGTTAACAATACGTAATAACAAACAGTGCCACCAACTGCTTCACAATAAACAAAAATTTTTCTAAAACAAAACTTGGAGTTCTTAACAAAAAAATTATTATCAGTGTTCTGCGTCCAAATTTGTGGTTACAGGGATGCATTACTTTGTGGACACCCTGTATTATTCTAAATGGTGAATATTATTACAAGTTATGAATGCAACGAACACTCTTAATAAACACCTCTTAGTAACTAATTAATTCACAACCTAAAATATAATTCTTGGATGGTACAATTGTAATGTGATTTTTATATAACTATTGTCAAACAATGCTTTAGTGCAGTTTCAAAATAAATAATTATTTTGTTAACCGTCTCATAATCGACATAGTTTTCATTAAGAAATGTAAAAAAAGTAAACAAGAATGAAAGTCTTGAGAAAATATTACACTGATTCATTCAAGAATGTTTTAGAAAATAGTAAAGGTATATTGAATGACAACTTAACTTCCATCTATGTGGGACAAAATGATTTAAATTATAAAAATTAAGTAAAAAAAAAACAGAGCAAAAGTTAAAATGCATTAACTGGCCCAGACTAAAAATACTTTTTTTATACTTTTTAGTGAAATGGCGACCATACAAAGTAGGTATTTAAAGCCAAGTATGAATGGAGATGAGTGTAGGATGAGTGGCGCGATCTTGTAGTCTTGTTAGTGACTAAGGCCGACATATTCCATAGAAACAGCTGTTAATTAATTGCCCATACAGCTAATGACAACTAAGGGACCTACAGTTTATAGTGGAATCCGAACCACATTTTTGCCTTTGGTATATACGAATTGGTCTAATTATCAGGATAGTACTGCGGATAGTCGTAGTACTCACCCGTGCGGACGTTAATCCACACCAGGGAGTATCCCATCCACAGTGCATGCCTATAAATATCCACAATTCGTGACCTCCAAGTAGCTGGATTACAGGACGACGCCACCCGTTTCAGTCTTCTTAGGCCTAGTATTTAGTGAAGGCCTACATGTAAAATGTTAGTGTGTTATGTGTTCCCTTATGCTTTGTAAAAATCAATGCATCTTCATTTGACCAAAATAAAATTAATCGGAATATAATTTATTGGTGAATATAAAAGGAAATGTTTTGATAGAAGTTAAACAATTTTTTATCTTAGTAATGACAAAAAAACAAAACTATTTTTACTGCAATTGCAATAAAACCATCCACTACTGCAATCACATTACCAGATTCACCACTAGACGGGTATTTGTAATCCATTGCAAACAAAATCACAATCATTCACCTTATCATATGAGCCAGCTGAGCAAATCTCCAAAGTGCAGCACGCAAGGAGCGAACACTTCCATTCTTCTTAATCTCCTTGTGTAGCTCAACATGCACCTTGACTATGTTGTTGTCCATCATAGCCTGTGAAACAACATACAACATACGTATTTTTGTTTGGTTGTTTGTTGTGGGGCTGCTGAGTAACCATAGTGCTCGGATTCTCATCAGAAGGTTGCCAATTAGACCCAGCCCCAAAGCAGAACAACGAGCGACGCTGCGACATTGTCGCGGACACGAAACGCCGAGAAACGCGGGCCTGCGGACACATTTACGGAGTCATAACGACGATCGCGCCGTGGCCGCGATTATTGGACCGACGATCGCACCGTGACCGCGAGTCATAACGACGATCGGGCTGTGACTGTGGAGTCATACCGACAGTCACGCTTGACCGCGGAGTCATAACGACGATCGCGCCGTGACCGCGAAGTCCTACCGACGATCACGCTGTGACCACGAGTCATACCGACGATCACGCCGTGACCGCGAGTCATACCGACGATCGCGCCGTGACCGCGGAGTCCTACCGACGATCGCGCCGTTACCGCGGAGTCATTCTGACGATCATGCCATGATGGCGAGTCATACCGACGATCACGACGTGACCACGGAGTCCTACCGACGATCGCGCCGTGACCGCGAGTCATACCGACGATCGCGCCGTGACCGCGGAGTCCTACCGACGATCGCGCCGTGACCGCAGAGTCCTACCGACGATCGCGCCGTGACCGCAGAGTCCTACCGACGATCGCGCCGTGACCGCGGAGTCATACTGACGATCATGCCGTGACCGCGGAGTCATACCGACGATCGCGCCGTGACCGTGGAGTCAAACCGACGATCGCGCCGTGACCGTGGAGTCATACCGACGATAACCCCTTGACCGCGGAGTCATACCGACGATCGCACCGTGACCGCGAGTCATGACGACGATCGCGCCGTGACCGTGAGTTCTACAGACGATCACCCCGTGACCCGCGAGTCACAAGTTTCTATAGGTACTTGTAAATTGTTACCCATTTTTTTGTTTTTATAGATCAGTGCCACAAATGGTAAAAATTGATTTCGTATGTCTTTTTTGGTAACTGCAATACAGTACTTTTTTTATGCACAGAAAAAAATCCTGTCCCATCCCGTCCCGAAAATCGGGAAGGAAATAAAAATCCCGTCCCGTCCCGTCCCGAACTAAAATTTCAATCCCGTCCATCCCTAGTGTGTTTATATAAAGAAACTATAGTACATTTAAAGTTTTACTTCTGAAGACCTTGTTAACACTTGTTAAGGTATGTGTATATATATATATACGTATTTAAAAAAAAGTAAATTTAAATAACCTGATTATGCCTACCCCTTAATAGTGTTTTAGTTTTTTGTTTTAAAAGTAGGCTATACAAGTTATTGAAATTTACTTATTTTATTTAACTATATTACTAGTAGCCCTAAAGAGTGAATATATATATATATATATAGGCCTATACCGGTATATAAGTCATTATTTAGCTTTTTAGTTTTAGCGCTTGCGGACACATTTTGAGGTTTTCACAGGCCGTTGCAGACACGTAGGAACCATTCTGCTTTGGGGAGACCCAGAGAAAAGTCACAAATCTTTATATCACTTATTTTATAGTTGATAGTTGACAATTGATTTAAATTATTCACTAGCCGTTCTCCATCGGCATTGCTCAACATAATTTCGTGTTTTATTAACTACAATGAACCCACTGAAGCCCTGACTTCACTACAGGCTAACATGACCTTTTGTATTAATTTTCTATCTAATAAGAGTTATAAGAATTAAATCCATTTATATACAGGATGAAAAAATGATCTATTTTCTGCAGCGCATTGTTTAGAGACAGGTCTGAGGGTGGTGGGGGTAGGCTCGTTGGCGATTCTACACGATGCCATTATTTGTAGTCATAGAGCATTGGTCACCTAGCAACGTGCAATTTTTATCGAGTCATTTTAAAATAGTAATGATTCAGTCATTGCAACTCAGCGGCATTTCCATGCATTCTGTAAACTAAGTTGACATGGAGACTTGGAGAGGTTCCGTCCCGATTATCTGTATGGATAGGAATTAAGATCGGACCTCAAAGTTAGTGTAACCGAGTGGTCAGCCATGTTCAGAGCAGATGTTTGTTTTCAGGCGGGCCTACGAGGACTGTTTTCCACAGCAGCCCGAGCTCTAGTTAGTTGTCTTGAGTCCGATCTGACTTTGGACGGCCTGTCAACTTCTTTTTGAACGCAGAAGCCATTGTTCTAAAGTTATTAACCCACCCACATGATAGTGCTACTTGACAGAATTTGGTTGTCCAGATTAAAAGAATGCACGGAACTGCCGCTGAGTTGCAATGACTGAATCATTACTTTTTAATTCAACTTGATAACAAACCAACGTTGCTCAGGTGACCAATGCTCTATGATCTAAGATAATGGCATCGTGTAGACTTTCCAACAAGCCTAACTCCACCACTCTCAGACGAATTGTCGCTGAACAGTGCGCTGCAAAAAAAAAATAGATCGGTTTTCCGCAACCTGTATAATTACCAAAGTTAAGTACCTAAACAAACATGACTACCCAAGTTAAACTAAGCGAGAACTTCTTCAACCGTAACATCTACTCTCTTGTTACACCAGGAAATTTGAACTACTCGTTATTTAACAACATATAGCCTAAACCCTTATTTTTGTGAAAAGCTTTTTCTGGTGCATCTAAAACACATTTCTTAGATACACTAATTACTTTTAAATGTTTCTTTTGCATAGCACAGGCGAACGTCACATTGATTTCTTATGGTTTATTTTAGTATTTTTTTAATGACTCAGAAATTATTAATGCGAATTGATTGAAAATATTTTTTTTGGGGACTTAGGAGATGAGAAAATTGTGAACTATTAAATCCAGACAGCACCAACACAGTATGATCAAATGTTTCATAACATTTGTTTTATTACATATTTTAGACAGTATTTTATAATAATATTATTGTTTGAAAGAAAACCAAAATCATTTTGAAATCATAAAAATGTATGCGTTATTTTGTTAACCTCCTACAAAAATTAAAGACCACCGAGCAATGCTCGGTTCCCTGGTACTTTTATTTTGAGTAAGGTTCATTGAGTGAGACAAATATCAAGACAATTTTACAAATGAGTTTGAGGTCTATAAATTAATATTGTGTGACAACACCAGTAACAAGGCCTATTTGAGGACACAACAAATGTTGTACCTATTAGAAGTGAATTTACTGTAGGCCTATGGGCTAAGTTATCAATCATTGCCCCGATAAATCCAAGGTTGTCCAAAATACAATCTCATACAATGTAAAAATTCAATTGGTACAATGGAAGCTCAACTTTGTTAAATCTATAATATTATGCTACTTCTATCACCTTTTAGTACAGATATTATTGGTGATGATTTAACAGCAAAGTTTACTCACCCTGATGATCCTATTGAGGCTTTCATCAGCCACCAAACGAATGTTAGAATCTGAATCATCACAGAGTTGCAACAGCGTCTCCATGGAGAATGACAGTAACGACGGAAAGTTTGCAGCCCCTTTGACATTTGGAGAACACATGGTATCTGCTACAAAATTGCATAATTCTACTTTCTTCTTCCTTCTGTAACAAAATTGCACACGGGGTTTAGAGATTGTTTATGCTTAGAAAACATTATTTTAACATGTTCGCTACTGCAATAGTAGGCTACAACATTTTTCATTTACATGGACCAGCGACACACATATACGACGGCTGGTTTCTACCCATAGACCGACGTCGCATATGCAAGGGCTAGTCACATTAAAATGGACTGCCGTCGCATATTTGCGTCGGGGTTCTAATGTTATTAAAATGCTTATATCTTTGTAACAGTCTATTAGAAGGCACTGAATTCCCTTCAGTGGTCTACAGAGATGTCTGACGCACAACTGTGTCGCTTGGTCTGTGGATATTATGATTGGTGACGTCATATGATAGTTGGAAAAACTGGTCTTTACTTTTCTGTATCACTGTATGTAGGTATGCAGTATGTATCCAATCCTACTGTACCAACATTAGGCCTATACCAACATTATCCTGTTGCTTTTATATTTGCTCAGTTATAGGCTAATCTGTTCTTGAATAATCTGTTTTTTTACTTACTTTCACTTCAAAACACAAACAAAAATGAACTGTTGCATATATGTGGCGTTTAGGCTATTTCAAGAAAACTATGATAATTTTCACTAGTTAGGTATTGTCTTCGCTGAAGACCGGGCGTCGCAAATATGTGACATTGCCAAAGGTTATGAAAAAAAAAAGAATAAATTATTTATAAACACGATTGCAGCGTATTACAATGTAAATGATCACTGTTTTACAGGTTTTCGCCTGTGGTCTATGTGTAGTGCACTGTTAACCAAGTGACAGCTGGTCTATGTGTAAGATTCAAATGTATACCTCGGTCTATGGCAATGACCGCGGTGCGACGCTCAGTAGCGAACGTGTTAAGATAAATATTTTATTGAAAGTTAGGCCTAAATTACCTAGAAGTTTAATTTATTGCCCTCAACTATTTTTAATTGTTATTTATATGATTATAGCCTAACCAAAAAACTTTTCTTAAATCGACGTGAGGGGCTCTTCCATAATCCCCCACTTCTTTGCAGAAAAGGTTCTTATCGGGTCCGGACCAGAAAAATGAGACGCTTTTAGAAATGGAAATAACAAACATGTAAACAAACATTGCTCATATGCTCCAATATAAATTAGTGCAACAACTGTATCCAGAATGACGATATCATTGTTTATACAGTGGAACCTTGATAAGAAGGCCCTCTATTAACAAGTCATCCTTGTCATATTATTATAGAAGGACGGGACGAAGTTACTTAACCCGTGTTCAGTCTACCTACAACCGCTGCCGTGACGTGTCGATAGCGCTATCGTGTTATTACGTGTTTAAATGTTTCGTGTTCCGTGTTTTGTTTTATGTATAAATCATTTGATGTTTTTGACAAAAAGCTCTGACGATGTTGCAGTGCAACGAAACATGTAAGCTTTGAACAACATTAGTTGAAAAAGACACAATTTTGGACTACTGACGGAGGTAAGCCTATATAAGTCATCTTTGTCATTTTCAAATCCCCTTGAATTTATTTTACCCCAAATCACATGTTATTGCAAACCTCAATAACGAGTCTAGCTTGATAACAAGTCTCATTTAAAAATAACTATGAGAGTCTTGTTATCAAGGTTCTACTGTAATAAGCTATTCATCTATCTATTTGTTTATAACTTATTTCGTATCACTGCGGCCTTGTTTTAGTGGAGGCTATGGCTCCTGATGAATGATGCTATCTGACAAAAGGTCAACGTTTGACAGTAACAATTCCTGAGTTTTATCTCATCCCAACAAAATAAAATACAAACCCACATCTTTCAAATGTGTTCTCTGGTAATGTTAAAGGCCTTACAGTAGGGTTTTCCTTGCTGTTAAGACTTACCTTACAAGTGTTTCATCTTCTATAGTTGATGGAGGTTCTTTACTTATTTTAAGAGCTTCCAAAGCTTTGACAAGTTTGTCAAGAGTTCCCATTGTTGAAGGTAAAGGACCTACACTCACTCTTAGAGACTCAATAGGACTAGGGCCTACTGAGGTTTAAATTTTTAACTACCTAGGCCTAAACATTATCCATCAAATGAATAAATCTTAACAATGTAATGAGCCAAAATTTTTTAGTGAACATAAATGAAATCCTATCAGGTGTATAAATCGCGAGACAGATAAGTGAACATCAGTTTAGCACAGAAATTCCACTAGCCTAGGAGTAAAAGTATTAACAACACTGCTTCTGCTCTGCAGTGCAGACAGCTCATCTCATACTAAAATGGCATAACCAAAACCAACCATACAAACTACAACAAACGTATGAACTAGAGATGTGTCGCTGCAGCTGGAACTACATTTATCCACCGTTCCGAGAGTGGAACTCGTTCCACCGTTCCAAGCGGAACCACAATCCAGTTCCAGTTCCACTGGAACTACTTTTTCAGCTGCAGCTCGGTGGAACGATTTGAATGTAGTTCCGCACAAACAGCTGCAGCCTTTTTGTAAATTTTTAAAGATAAGTTCCGGAGTAACTGGATTTGTAAACACATACAGTTACAACAAAACAGCTGCAGCTGGTTTATTAATACTCTCACTAAACATTAAGTTCTAGCCTGTGCAGCTGATGCGTTTTGACTTATTTGGTCTATTGTAAACAAAGGTTTGATTAGCGGATATGGTTGACATGCCTTAAAAGAAATGAATCATTTTCTATTTTTTTAGGCAGGATTAAATAAAAGTACATCAGTCCCAGTTAAGTCGTGCTCATAATATATACAAATTTAATTATCTCTTCCTCAGTAATCAGTACCGTAATAATTGTTTGTGTTTAACTTAATTCAGGATTTTTTCGCTATTAACTTTAGAATTTTATATTAAGAATTAGTGTAAGTGGTGTTTGAATAATATTATTTTAACAATAAAAAAATGTATAATAAGAATAAATGCATAATATGAAGAACCTCTAAAATAATTTACACCGGCCTTGTCACGTATTATTTTTAGACCCTAGATAGACAAACTAAAATAATTAATTACTAGTATAACATTTCCAAAACACGATATTGATTTCTTTTCAGCTGCTATTTTGCATTATTTCAATCAATATTCTAATTCAAGAACAGCTTAAACTAATCCGTCTCAAATTATTATGGCAATAAACTGAGTTATTCATCCGCCCTTTTGCCTCGTTTACTACAGCCATAGCTCCGCTGCAGCGGGAAAACCAGCTGCAGCGGGCAAAACCAGCTGCAGCTGGAACTGCTTTTGGAACGAGTTCCACGGCGACCTTGGAACTAGCTGCAGCTGTTTCGCCCAAGTAACTGCTTGGCACAACTCGAGTATGAACGTATGACTATGATGACTGACATGACGACAAGACTTAAATACAGGCACAGAAACAAAATGACATAGTATCATGTAACCCTAAAATTACTGAGAAGTACCAAATTGACTCACGGCCACCTTTTTTGTTCGCGGTGTTCAGTACAGTGAAACCATAGATAAAACATAGTACGGTGAAACCATAGATTAAGACCATAGCATGGATGAAGTATTATATTGGTTCATCTATGGCCAAAGATAAAACCGTAGAAAAAAAAATAATTATTTTTTTCTATGATAAAACACGCTCTCTTAGTAGATTTCTCATACCATAGATAAAACATACTCCCTTAGTTGGTTAGTCTATGCTCATACTCATGGAACATCTGAAGCCAATTCTATTGTTAGTTCTGTTCGGTACGATCGTGAAGACAGCTATCGCCAGCTGTCGACGTTGGTCGACCCTACATTTCCCCCCCTCCCACAACGATTTCCCCTCTTCGCCCTCTCGACCAATCAGATACCGCCTAGGTTTGAGCAGTACAGTCGATGCACAAAAAAAAGACCTCGCATTTGAATTTACCTTCTATGGATAATTAATAGTTTTCCGAACTAAAACTAATAACTGTGCATATGTAATATAGCACATATACGCACCAACAAGTATAAATAAATCGAAACATATAAATTTTAACATATATATTAAACACACACATATATATATAGAGCCTATATATGTTCTCAGCATACAAGGAGTGTTTTGACGTACTTGAAACTATGTTGAAACAATATTCGACCAAATATAATTGCTTTAAATACATGTTAAAGAATTATTAAAAACCATATATAATATATTTAAGTTAATTTCAGCCTGAAGTCCAGCTAACGAATTAGCACTCAGCGTAATAAAAAAGTTCGGACAAATATTTACCTATGTTGTGACGATATTCCCCAAGATTTTATCATTTTAAATTAAAGTATACACTTGAATGTACCACATATTAAAAAATCATTATAATCTAAACATATATATTTAGGTTAATTTTAGCTTAAATTGCAGCTAACGAACTTGTTCTCAGCGTACTTATAATGTTCGGACGAACATTTACCTATGTTGTGACGATATTCCCCAAACTTTTATCATTTTAAATTGAAGTATATATTTGTATGTACAACATATTAAAAAATCATTAAAATCTAAACATATATATGTAGGTAAATTTTAGCCTAAAGTCTAGCTAACGAATTTGCGCTCAGCGTACTAAGAATGTTCGGACAAACATTTACCTATGTTGTGACGATATTCCCCAAAATTTTATCATTTTAATTTGAAGTATACACTTGAATGTACAACATATTAAAAAATCATTAAAATCTAAACATATATATTTAGGTTAATTTTAGCTTAAAGTCCAGCTAACGAACTTGTTCTCAGCGTACTAATAATGTTCGGACGAACATTTACCTATGTTGTGAGGATATTCCCCAAAATTTTATCATTTAAAATTAAAGTATACACTTGGATGTACAACATATTAAAAAATCATTAAAATCTAAACATATATATTTAGGTTAATTTTAGCTTAAAATCCAGCTAACGAATTGGCGCTCAGCGTACTAAGAATGTTCGGACAAACATTTACCTATGTTGTGACGGTATTCCCCAAAATTTTATCATTTTAAATTAAAGTATACACTTGAATGTACAACATATTAAAAAATCATTCAATTCTAGACATAAATATTTAGGTTAATTTAAGCTTAAAGTCCAGCTAACGAATTAGCGCTCAGCGTACTAAGAATGTTCGGACAAACATTTACCTATGTTGTGATTGTATTCCCCAAAATTTTATCATTTTAAATTAAATTATACAATTGAATGTACAACATATTAAAAATCATTAAAATCTAGACATATATATTTAGGTTAATTTTAGCTTAAAGTCCAGCTAACGAATTAGCGTTCAGCGTACTAATAATGTTCGGACGAACATTTACTTATGTTGTGACGATATTCCCCAAAATTTTATCATTTTAATTTGAAGTATACACTTGAATGTACAACATATAAAAAAATCATTCAATTCTAGACATATATATTTAGGTTAATTTTAGCTTAAAGTCCAGCTAACGAATTAGCGCTCAGCGTACTAAGAATGTTCGGACGAACATTTACCTATGTTGTGACAGTATTCCCCAAAATTTTATCATTTTAAATTAAAGTATACACTTGAATGTACAACATATTAAAAAATCATTCAAGTCTAGACATATATATTTAGGTTAATTTTAGCTTAAAGTCCAGCTAACGAATTAGAGCTCAGCGTACTAAGAATGTTCGGACGAACATTTACCTATGTTGTGACGATATTCCCCAAAATTTTATCATTTTACTTTGAAGTATACACTTGAATGTACAACATATTAAAAAATCATTCAATTCTAGACATATATATTTAGGTTAATTTTAGCTTAAAGTCCACCTAACGAATTAGCGCTCAGCGTACTAAGAATTTTCGAACGAACATTTACCTATGTTGTGACGGTATTCCCCAAAATTTTATCATTTTAAATTAAAGTATACACTTAGATGTACAACATATTAAAAAATCATTAAAATCTAGACATATATATTTAGGTTAATTTTAGCTTAAAGTCCAGCTAACGAATTAGCGCTCAGCGTACTAAGAATGTTCGGACGAACATTTACCTATGTTGATACGATATTCCCCGAAATTTTATCATTTTAAATTGAAGTTTACACTTGAATGTACAACATATTAAAAAATCATTAATATCTAAAAATATATATTTAGGTTAATTTTACCCTAAAGTCTAGCTAACGAATTTGCGCTCAGCGTACTAAGAATGTTCGGACAAACATTTACCTATGTTGTGACGATATTCCCCAAAATTTTATCATTTTAATTTGAAGTATACACTTGAATGTACAACATATTAAAAAATCATTAAAATCTAAACATATATATTTAGGTTAATTTTAGCTTAAAGTCCAGCTTACGAACTTGTTCTCAGCGGACTAATAATGTTCGGACGAACATTTACCTATGTTGTGAGGATATTCCCTAAAATTTTATCATTTAAAATTAAAGTATACACTTGGATGTACAACATATTAAAAAATCATTAAAATCTAAACATATATATTTAGGTTAATTTTAGCTTAAAGTCCAGCTAACGAATTAGCGCTCAGCGTACTAAGAATGTTCGGACAAACATTTACCTATGTTGTGACGATATTCCCCAAGATTTTATCATTTTAAATTAAAATATACACTTGAATGTACAACATATTAAAAAATCATTCAATTCTAGACATATATATTTAGGTTAATTTTAGCTTAAAGTCTAGCTAACTATTTATAAATAGTATTTAAACTAAAATAAAACTATAGAATTGAATGTATAACATTCAATATATTATATTATTATAGGATCATTACAGGAAAACAATTTAGATGGACGACACATATATTTAATTATACATTTTTATTTATAGAATAATGTGTTTTATGTAGGTACTATTTATTCCTGAATTCCGGCGGATATGGATTTCGGTGGCAGCCATCTTGGCCAGGGTCGTCAATTCGGTTCCTATAATTGAGAAAAAAGAATATGTTGTTTAAATACAGAACAATAAGAATGTTGTTTAAATACAGTGATAGATTTCATATTACACCATGAATATTATTGACTAATGATTTTCAATGAGACATTTTTATCCATCAATTGATCAATAACGGATTTGGCCTATAAAAACATATAAACTCCACATTATACAAATACACCTGCGCAATCATGATAAGTTGCTATTAACCTTGGTTCAGTAAAGCGGTGTTTACACTGTCGTGGGTCCACGGCTAAAGTCAGGCGTGGCGGTGAAAAGTTGTGTCAATTTCTTGAGACGCGTGGCCACGGCTTGTGTAAACAGTAGAGACGTGGGAGCAACA